TATGAATCATCAAATTGGCGGTCTAAAGGTAAGTGGAACATTTTCCACAATTCATATTGAAAACAGGAATTCATTTTAGATTGAACAGGAAGCGTCTGAAACGACTGAAAATAGATTCCAGTTCTTGGAAACTATATAGCACGAACTGAACTACCTAGCAAAAAGATAACTAATGCAATTTCTAATGTAACTCAATATTGCCACTTGTTTAATATGACTAATTTACAATTTAACTACAATAAGCTATTAACAGACAGAATTTTAAAAAGCAAATAGCAACACGCTATTCACTATGAGATATAGTATCTAAGCATTTAATACTTATTGTAATTTAATTCTATAATTTTTTAAGTATTTTTGTGCCACATTTTTGGAAACCTAAAAAGTTATATAGTAATATTAAATAGTAATATTTAATAAAATAGTAATATTTAAATAAAAATTTTACATGAAATATTTTGCATCGTAAAATAATGTTATATTTGATGGAAAACAGCATAAAAAAATTTAGAGAGTATAAGAGAGTAGTAAGAGGGTCACTCTATTTCATAGATTTATAAATTCATGCTAATCAGGGGAAAAATTAGAGGGATTTCAGTGAAATTCAATTAACATTTTTCGGTGATAAAAAGCTTTTCACTTCACTATAAAAACTGTGATATAATATGTGTTTAAGAATTCGATATTTAACATCCCAAGCCATTGTGAGAAAAGCACTTTATTTCAAACTTGATGAATACTTGTTCAGCAGTGAAGACAAAAACTAAATAATCAACAAATTCGCAACATTACGAGAAATGATGCTTAATCTTACGACATACATCAACATGATAAATAGGGCGAAAATAATTTAAATTCTTTTATTTATTTGCAATTCCTGATTATATTAGATTTTATTTTATTTTATAACCATCGTTAAACACCTGAGACAATTTTTGAGTTCACGATTACTAATGTTCAACTACGTAGCCTTGTAATTTTGAACCCAATCCGGAAGACAAGGGAACTCCTGGATCAAATATTGGGAGAAATTTGCCTTCGTGGGGGAATTTTTGATGGAGCTAACCCAGCATTTGCGTTACATGAAGAGGACCATGATAACCTCCCACGGTTAGCCTGATGGCTCTAACCCATGATCCATTTTCCACTGAGAATATCTTATGTTAGCACTGTGGTCGGTGCAAGCCGGATGCAGAATTCGCATCGACCAGCCCTGGTACGATGCGTTTTATCGAGGCTAACTCGTGAGAGTCAAAATTCACCACAGTTAATTAATTTTCTTTTCTTCTCACTTAATGGGATGGAGCCGTAAAATAATCTTTCCATAGTACCAAATAGGTATCAAATATACTAATATTATACCAAATAAAATATATATAGTACCAAATAGGTATCAAATATACTAATATTATACTTCGTGCACAGATTCGTATATTTGGTACCTATTAAAACTAGTTCAATTACCATTATATCATTAGTGCTTATATTACCAAAATTAACTGACTATCAGTGTTGACAATAACAAAATGGCGATTTTTATTCATTTCTTAACGAAATTAGTCAAAGCTCCCTATTATAATAATACATTTTCTCTATTATTTAAAAATTTAGCATTATTCAGCAATAAAGCTGTGTTCAACTATTTTACACCAAAAAAAGTGAAAAGGAATATTCCTGTTTTTTCCCTGCAGAAGAAATTGTCTGTTGTGTTTCGTTACACAACTTTTAGTGTAAAATAATTTTCTCAATTTTTAGTGATAACACACTAAATTTCTTTAATACATGGTAGCTGTGGAAATAATAAGTTATTTCTCTGTGCAAAATTATCCTTGACATAGCGAATGAATAAGTAGGTTAAAGAAAGAAAACAGCGAAACGAGATATTTGCAAAACATATAATTGTCAGGGCAAATTAGCTTAGAAATTTAACTAAAAAAAACTTTTACAAATATGATTTGTAGCATATTCAATTTAGTGTGAAAGTGTAAAAAATTGTGAAGAAGACCTCAATTTTTTACACTTTTAGAGCAATAATTATTTCCTTAAGAGGCATTTTTTGCTTAATGCTCATAAATAATGAAAAAAATTTAATTGCATTTTTCTAGATCGCTAAGATTCAAGTTTCTTTTCAAAATAAATAAATTAAAAATCATTTCAAATGAATATCTGTAATTCTCATCTCAACGTTATTTGATAAACTTGCATTATTTTTCTTCTGGTATTACCAAAGATTGTTTCGATTTAAAACTAAATAAGTGAGTCAAAAAATAAAAATAATTGCACTGGAATGAAATAAAAGTTTAAACTCCAGCTCCTCAAATAATTTTTTTATTCATTCAAATATCAATGCACTTTGTAATTAATGTATTTTTGCTTAAATGATATGAAACTATGCATTTTTTTATTGCAAAATGCTTTTTTTAAAACAAATTCTTCTCGCTTCTTCATTTTAAAAATTACATTATGTGTAAAAAAAAATAAAGAAGCGATAGCAAAATTGCCCACAGCTTGATGAAAATCAATCAATATTTCCACGCCAATTTATCGATAATGGCTAGTAACATGAAACAAAAACTACCTTTTGCGGGATAGCTTTAAAAAGATTAATGCTTTAACGAAGCGAGGGAACGTTTGTTATTGGAGAGTTGTAAGATTTTATCCAGTCTTCTATTACGTTTTTTTCAGTTTCGGAAATGGGATAAAACGTTTCCATTTCTTTTTTTATCACATTTCCGTTTCGTTAGCTGAAGAGGAAAATTGGAGTAAATATATCATTATTTATTTTTGAAATAAGATTTTATTGACTACCTTTTGTTATTTTTTTAATGTAAGGATCATAAATCATAATTTAAATTTTTTATCTTAGATGATTATCGGGAATTAACTCGTTGCTTTTAAATTCTTTTAAAGAAATATTTATTAAATCTTTGGGAAAATTGATGCGTCAGTACCTGCACCAAAAAGTTGCACAATAGAGCTGCAGATAGGATAACTCTGGCTCAAAAAGATGCAAAAATAAATAAATGAATAAACAAATAAAATAGATAAAAAATTTATGTGTTTTATATCTAGAACAATGGTTCCCAAAAGGGTTCCGTGGAAGGATTATAGGAGTTCCGAAGAATAAGATTATATTTTAGCCAGTCATAGTATCCAGTCAATAAACTGTAATTTATTTAATATGGTTGTTTATATGAACTTATTTATGTAAAATTCCTTTGAAAACAAAATTAGCATTGTTCTAATAAAATAAATATATTTTTCTACTACAATATATTGAATAAATTATGAAAAAGATGTGCACTTATAAAAAAATTCCATAAGTTGTTATAATCGAGCTTTCCAATTCAAAATAAAATGATTAAATTCAAAAATTTTACGTTTCTTTTATTCTTAACGTTAGTAACAAATGTTTTTATTTATTTATTTTTGGAAACCAGAATTCATCTTATTTTATTTGTTTCCATATTACTAAATATCTCCTTCTTCAATTCTTCACATTGGATAGTTTCGAAATAATTAGAAGTTTTTTTAATTTAAATATTTATAGATGTTAATGAACTATTTTTTTATAATGCAAGGATTCCGCTAAACGAAGCTCGAACATTTCGGTCTCCATTCCCGAAGAAATTCGTAAATTGCTGATCTAGACAATGCTATTTACTTATTTGCAATTGCTTAAATAGGAAGTTGACGAAGGGAGCGAATTATATGAATTTGTCTAAAGTGGAAACATCTTCCTGATTTACGCAATGAGCCTTTATTTGTTTATTTCCGTGAATGTTTTTTTTTATTTGAAAATAATTAATTTATAATCATTTGAAAAGTTCAAATTTAATATTTCAATGATTTCCTTAACATGAATGTTACAAAAGAAAAAGAGTACAGTATCAAGTTAATGATATTTCAGACATACGGCATAAGAAGTTACTGAGACGCTTTAACCCTAAACGGAACTCTCTCTTCTAAATGCCTATTGTATGGAATCAAAAACCGTTTTATTATTTTTACCACACTTATTTCATTTATTATAAATCATGAAACTATAACTAATAATATAATTATTATTATTATGATTAAGTATTCAATAAATTTGGCGAAAAGTAAACTTAAATTATGTTGCGAGATATTAAGTGGCGTGAAAACGTTTGATTTCAAAAAGAAAATAAATATTTTTTATTATAGCGGACTTGCTATGCTGCAAATATTCATCGAGGAGTTTATTGCAAATAATTGGTAATATGCACTGCTGGGATGATGGTAATTGGTGCAGACTTAATAATATATACCAAATATACTGATGTAGGTACAGCGCATTGTATTGGTATATTTGGTATCTATTGAAATTTCACCAATACTAAGGCAATTTTAGTAAAGATACTGTGATAAGAGTTTTTTTGTTTTGTTTGTCCCCGAGAAATTTGCTTGATTGTGGTAAATTTAAAATTGCTTGAGTTGGCCTCAAGAAACAACATTACTGAATACAATTAATCTTTATTTTGATGGCATGAGCTACTAAAAACATGTTTTGCTAAATTTAATTACACCGCCGGGAAGTGCAACGAATAATATATAAATAAGAAGTGTTCAAGAGTAGCAGTAAACAGTGCGCATGCGTCGTCATTGCATGCGTTGCTATGGCGACCACTTCTGTTTGATAATTTTTTTTTTTTTTTTTAGAATTCTTTTTCACTTTAATTTTATTACGCATTGAGTTGGTGAGTTTATTTTTCGAGATGTGGGACCAGAGAGATCCTATAAAATACTCCTCGGGTTATGAATAAAAGAGAATTTTATCATTTGAACGATGTTTTTATTGTTTTAATTAAGAATCAGAAGTTCGAATCTGCAGTTCAAAAAGTAATATTGGAATTATTTTAGTTTTATTATTTGTCACGGTATTTCTCCGTAAGTCTTGTGTATGATTTCATTGTGTTGTTCAGCACTGATTATGATAAATTGATTATTCCTTTACATATGAAGAATGGGTATTCAACAAGTATTGTATAAATTGTAGTGTATGTATGATTATTTGGTAATCTTTTAATTTAATAAACGTGTGTGCTTTAATGAAATAGAAAACATTTAGCAGAATTTTTGTTCGACACTAATCTATTCTATCTTAAAGTTTATTGCACACATCTACAATTTTTTTTTATGTAACCTATTAAATTAGAAATCTATTAAGAAGCTCTGACTCTTGATCTCTGCACACGCCAACCTTGAAATTACGCTTCACACTTCCTTTTGAAAGCTTCGTCAACTGATTATGAGGTATTTTAGTTCAGCTTTGTATGTGAATAGTAGTCCTCTTTTAAGAATATAACGTTCTAAAGTTATGCAACATACTGTCGGCGAGCATAGTTTAAAATTCATGCAATAAGAAAATATTTTACTCATATTCAGAACATAGCTTAAAATTTGTATTTAATGAAATAGTGATAGCTTAAAATATGTTTTTAGGAAAATAAATATAGTTTAAACTGTACATTTAAGAAAATGGACACAGCACAATTTGCGTCTTTTTAATGTGCAACCCAAATTTTAACGACAAAACTAGGAATTTCGCTCACTATTTTAAACACTAAGCATAATAATGATTACGGAACAAAGATTGATTCCAAGGCTAATTGGATACATAGCAGATGTAACTTTTCAGGTTGTCTCTTTGTATTCAGAACTTTAATCGATAAAATGGTATTTAAGAATAAAATTTCTCCAATGTATACCACTTTTTTTTTAAATTTAAGGGACCCGTATCAACTCAGTAAAAAGAACTGTTGATTTTTAAAGTCTCGCAAAAAAAATAACATAAAAAAAACCTTACTGAGTGATTTATGCAAATGAAAAAATTCATCAAAAAATAATATTTTACAAAATTTAAGTATACATAATTTATTAATATACTTTAAATGCTGAAATATTGGTGTAAAATTTTTAAATAAGTTTAATTAAATTTTCCAGATGGGCCAAGAAATAGACATTTATGTAATTTAATTGTTTTTAGGATATTGTAAATGAATAATCTTATTATATGAATGGAAGTACTTAGGAAAAACTATGTCTTAAAAAAAATAACGGCTTTTTATTTTAAGGGAATCTTGCGATATTTTGTTATGATACGATATTTTTAGATTTCTGTAGACTCTCCCACATGAGTAAAATGGTTTTTAGTAGCCTCAACCATTAGAAATATACAAGAAATATATGAGAGTTTTACATAATATTCTTTTTCTATTACGTAATGTTCTTAACATAACTTAAAAAAATTCAAACACATACACTCCATTCAAACACATACACTCCAGTTCCATTATGTTATATAACAACTTAAGTACAAACATCGAACAAAACTTTATTTCGAACAAAAATCCATCCATCTCACTTTATTTAAAAATAATCCGTTTTGTTCATCGCTATTCCATTTCCGTAGATTTGAATCTTTTCTCTTCTGGAAAGGGGGAAGGTTTCGATATGATATCGGTGAAATGAGATATCAAATGCAGTTATATGATATCTGAAAATGGGACATATTTACGACAACCCCTGAAATTCCTTTTCCCAAGCCTCACCACATCGGCTTCGAACATCGAAGATATCTCATTTTTCACGGATCCCTTCGGTGGTGCTCTCTGAGATATACACTTTTCATATTTTTATAATATCTTTTGTTTCAGCGGGATAAGTGGCTTTTTCCTGTCACGTGATCTGCATGGAAATTTCGTTTATTCCTTTATTAAATGCAAATTTCTGAGAATTTGTTCTGGTATTAAATACGCTTAGATGATTTAAATGAGAGTTGAGGAATTTATATTAAGATATTTGATATCTTCAATGTATTAATTCCATAATTATTGGGAAAGATATTATTTTCAGATCATTTTTTTATCGGAAGAGAATAAAATAAAACAGGAAATGTTGTGTGAACATTGAAGTAGGGCTAAGAAAAACATTTTTATTTTTTTCTTAAGAGAGCGGAAAAGCTGTTAGGTTAAGGAAGAATCAAATAACACCGTAATTGAAATGAAAAAAAAATTATCCAGTGAATTAATTACATTCAAAATTTATAGGGCGTCTCAAAATCGCATAATTCAAAAGCTAATTCATTAAATATGGAAGAATATAGAAATATACGGACTGCTTAAGAAATCAGTTTTCTTGCAATGTTTTTAATGTAATCACCATTTGAAGTTACAATGTAGGACACTCTGATAATAAAAGTATCGGGGATCCGTGCAAACATCTCAGTTGTGAAGATTTTGAAAACGTCGTTTTATAATTTTTCCATTAAAATATTTTTTAATGGCTTTGTACCTTTAATGACTTTATTTATTTAATTTGCATTTTTTTCACTGAGCAATTGAATGAAATAACTGAATGTTGTAATTTAAGCAGGCAGTTAAATAAAAAGGGAAATATGATGTAATCACGAATACATAAAATCCTAGTCACTATTGGAAAATACAAAAAAATATATATTTACTACTTTATTATTTTAACAAGCCTTGCCTATCTGTTTCTTTAGAGTAAAAAATATCACTATATAATATGCTATATATAATAGTTTTTTATATCAGATTATGACTAGAGTTCAGGTATTATTCTTACTTATTATGCTTTCAGCATTGTTTCGTTACTGTCCTAGTCTTTCTTACTGTTCAAATCTTTGTATTGATCTGCAACATCGTGAACAAAATTTAAACTTTATCCGCAGAGTGAGTGGTGAGATATTTATATTCAAATATTCCAGTTGGAATGAATAAGCAATTGGAATACTGAAAGAATCATCATTCGCAATTGCCATCATTCGCAATTATTTAAGCCCCTTTTTCAATTTAAGATACCTTTCAATTCAAGAGCAACTAATTTAGGGTCAAACTGATTGCTGTTAAAAGTTTGGTCTATAATGAAGAGCTTTGCAACCGAATAAAGGTGTTTTAAAATATATCATTGTCCCTTTTTTAACTTTCAAAAATCTTTTAAAATCTGATCAATTTTAATTTAATATACATTTATCAATTTTGATTTATGCTATATCATTGTTGTCCCTTGCTCTAACTTTCAAAAGTCGCTCAGTCTTCCTGAAATGGTAAACCTCAATTTAATATAAATTTATCACTTTTGATTTACGCTATATCATTGTCCCTTTTTCTAACTTTAAAAGGTCACATAGTTTTCCCAAAATGTGGTCAATTTAATGTACATTTATCACTTTTGATCTATGCTATGTAGTTGTTTTTTTCCTTACTTTCACGCAGTCTTCCTGAAATCTGATAAATTTCAATTCAATGTACAATAACACTTTTGATTTATGCTGTTATATCATTTTCCCTTTTCTAACTTTTAAAAGTCTTTTAAAATCTGATCAATTTCTATTAAATATACATTTATCACTTTGTATTTATGCTATATCATTGACCCCTTTTCTAACTTTCAAAAGTAGCTCAGTCTTCCTAAAACGATAAACTTCAATTTAGTATAAATTTATCACTTTTGATTTACGCTATATCATTGTCCTTTTTTCTAACTTTCAAAAGTCTTTTAAAATCTGATTAATTTCACTTAAATACGCATTAATCACTTTGTATTTATGTTATATCATAGTCCCTTTTTCTAACTTTCAAAAGTCGCTCAGTCTTCCTGAAATGATAAATTTCAATTTAATATAAATTTATCACTTTTGATTTACGCTTTATCATTGTTCCTTTTTCTAACTTTCAAAAGTCACGTAGTCTTCCGGAAATCTGATCAATTTCAATTTTATATAATATGCATTTGTCAATATTATGATTTAGAATATCCGACCCAAAAATTCAAATCCTTCCCAATCTTAAGCTTTAAAGTAAAAAAGACATCTGTTTGCTGACCCAAGAAACCAATCTGCTTTCATCCTTCTTGAACTCTGAAGACGCTTTTTCTTTTATTCTCGTTTATCCTAGTCTGTTTTGATACCAGGAAGCCTTTTTCTGCAATGTTACATTTGATTGAGTCAGATGAAAATTTTCTTTGAAAACTTTTAAGTTAAACAACAGAAAGAGCTCTTGTGGTGTACTATAAAAGAATGATTTGCATTTTTTACTGGAAAAATTAGTGTCTGTTTCCCAGAAACTAATGTTTGTAAGAATAGGGGGATGATGTAGAAATAAAAATTTATTTTCAAGTTTAATTCTGAGGTTTTGAAAGCAATCAATAGCTTTGTGTTTTCCTTTAATGAACAGTTGAGTAATTTTAACTATTGCTTTTTTAATATTTAAAATTTACAGACGGAAAATTTCGTCCAAAAGCTACATACAATCAATTTGTTGAGTTATATTATTTCATATTTTTAAACAACAGTAAAATATTTTAGTTGTCCGTTTTGTTATTAAAATTTTATAAGTAAATTAAAACAATTGTGTAATGAAAAACGAACCAAACTTTTTTAATCCTTTATTTATTTTTCATTTATTTTCACAGAAAGAGGTTTTGGTTCATTTGAACCATTTTATTTAGTTTACAAATTTATTTTAAGAAATTCACAAATACTTCAATTTTTATTCTTAAATTTGTATTAATCAAAAAAAATTGACAATGTTTTAGTTCTTTTTGATAATTGAGGAGTAACTTACTTGGAAAAGAGAAATAACTGGTAGTAAAATTCTTTTGCCTCTAGCTTCTTTTTGAAAGTAGTAAAATATTCATGACTACCACAACAATGTATATAAAATAACATGAATAATATATATTTACTAGTAAGAAAATTCATAAGTGAATAGATGTGTTATAATTAAGAAAAAATTGGCTGTAATGGATAATTTTTTGTCTGCGAAAAAAGGCAACCAGTTATATAGTACCAGTTATTTTTCTTTTTTGAGTCAGTTTCTGCCCTGTTCTCATTTACAGATTTGCTTGACTTTCTAGATTTATCTTTTTTATTTATTAAAACTTGATATAAGTTGAATTGTTGGATAATGTATCTAAAAATGCACCGTACACCTAAGCTTGAATTTTTTTAGCAATAAGTATAAACTGTACTGTAATTTGCGAGAGTTTACTGAATAATCTCTCACTTTAAATATTGATTAGAATATCGCTTGGAAATATTTGTTTTTTTACCATATGAGAGTTTCTGTAAAAAAGCTAAAAAAAGCAATGTAGAATCAATTTAGACAATTTTGAATAATGAAGACAATTTTGTTCATAAAAACTTTCGAATAAATATTTAGATAAGAATTAGTATAAATAATATAATGATTTTGTACTTTAATATTCAGGTTTCTTGGAGCAATTTTTTAAGAGAATATGTTCTTTTTGTGTTGAAATACGCAGTTATGAAAAAATTCGACCAAAAAAGGAACAAAAAACAATATTAACGAGTTTCACGATGAGTTTTTGAGAAAAAAGCATAAAAATATTTCTAATGTAACAAGAATTAAAACTAAAATTGATAATAAACCTTAAAGTTTGATTTCTGTAAAAGTTTAAGTAAAATAAAGTAAAAGTTTAAACTCGTAATATTTGGTCAAAAAACGTGAACTTTTTTAATTACAACATTTAATTATATTTAACAGACAAACTTTAAATTTTAAGCCAGTAATGCTACATTTGCATGTTTTAAAATCCTATAACCGAGTTAAAAAAAATCTAGGTATTTTTAATTTTTGTTAA